CTGCTAAGCACTTTCTAATGCAACTCTTATGCAATATGTATGAATAATGCCAGAATCTGTTTTTCTTTTTCTTCTAACCCAGGTTTAGGCTTTTAGTCAAATCAGCAATCTTTCCCCCAGCCGTTTGCACAGCGCAGCGGTTTCTGGTCACAAATGGAGGCAGCTGTGTGACACACCAGGGGAATAATCTTTATAGGGTTCCCATGACTGGTGTATTGACGTGATTTGATTTATCTGGGCTCAGACAAAAGATGAAAATGTGTCTCACATAAAGCAATACACCCAGTGTCCTGTTTGTGGGACTTCTGTTAAACGGTTGGTGTATAGATACTTTGCCCCGGTGAAGATTTCAGAACAGGAAATTGTTGAAATGATAAACCAGAAAAGGAGAATCGTATTATTCCTTCATTACAAGACAACAAAAAACTAGATTAAAGAATAAAAACTCAGACATAAACTTAAAAGAAGCAAAGGGAGAAAATGTGTACTTAAATAAATTAGTTAACCATCTAAAGTGTTTCTGTGTTAGTTTCATAATGTTCAGACTAGTCGTTAGCTCAACACTCTTCAAGGGCTTGGACTTTATTTCTCTAAACTAAGGCTTTTCTAAACCCAATCTAGAGTATGTAAAGTTTTAGAGTGATAAGGAGCCACTTTTATTTTGAAAACCTTTTAATCATCGTTAATCATTATTCATTACTTTAATCAGTTTCTCTTCTTTCTCCAGAAGAGAACCAACGCTTTCCCTTTTCCTCCTCCAAACCCTATCCTGCCTGCCACTTTCAGAGCACCTCTCTGCATTCCTTCTGGATTTTTCTAAGCCATGGATCTGAGGAGCTGGTCTCTGAATGCAAATGATCGATGTTTTTGCACTTTACGAACAGAGAAGCGAGCTCTTCCATGTCCTGACGGAGTGCACCTGGTGGGATACATAATGGAACCAGTGAAAGAATGCGTGTCTGTCGCTGCTATCCGAGGAAGACGAAGAGGATATCTATATGTTTGCATTCATGATTACTAGGGTCCTGTTGTTTGGAGCTGGTGGCTACCTGGCGTATCGGAAGATTTTGAAGCTGACAGGAGCAATTAGAAAGTCTCCTGAGATCAGAGAAGGAAAATGCAGCACTATACATTTTCAGACTCAGACTTTGCATGAGATGAATTGGAAGATGGATGCTGTGAGCAGCAATCTGGCTGCATATTCAGAACTCACACGCAGAATGGAAACCAACTTGGATGAATGTTCAGCTCGGTTTTTCTGGAAACCAGCCTCCTTGATTTAGTGTCCTTGAGACTGGGAAGGACTGAAAGCAGAGAGGAAATTTAATCTCTTGCCTGTTTCACAACAGTCACTGTTATCTGAAGTTGGATCCCCGATGACTGGCCTTGATGGCTGAAGTATTTCAAAACTCCCTTTGGAGGTGGACACAGGGTTAGGGGTAGGATGGAGGCTCTGCCCCTTACTGCCCTACTCCTCACGAGACTGTGAACTCCTAGGACAGGACTATTCAATTCCAGGCCTAGAGGGCTGGCATCCAGCACGTTTTGGTTTTAACCCTGCTTCAACACACCTGATTTCAATCAGCAGATGATTAACAGGCTTCTGCAGAGCATGATGAGCTGCTGCACAGGTGATTCAACCACCGAATCTAGCGTGTCGGAGCATAGAAAGCAGTACAATGTGCTGGATGCCAGTCCTGGAGACAGACACACAGGTCTCAGAGAATCGCACACACCACCCTATGGACTCAAAGTTATCCTCGCGCCTCGCCTCTCCCTCACACCCCTGAGCAGCGAAGGTTGGAGTTGGCGCTGGACAGCTGCTCAGTTTCTAAGGGGATCCCCACCCCTCCCACCCACTACATGGATATATGCTGATTGTCTGAACATGTGCTCTGCCCTTTATCAAGGGAGGTGGGGGGTGGTTCTCTCTCATGCCTTCCCTCCAGCATGTCTCCCGTTTCACTTTATCTAGTAATGGCAGCATTGTGAAGTGGTTGCATGCCCGCAGTCAGCCTGTTCCTGTGTTTTATGTGCCATTTGTCTGTTGTTCTTGGAAAGTTTGTGCCAGTGCAGATGTCTTGTTGTACCGGGGCGCTGGTTTGGTGACAAATACATTTGATTCTGATTATAAATATCTCAAATTTCAGGTATGTACATGAAGTTTGTTGCTTATTTACAAGAATAAATATCATCATCTGCTGCCAGAGTTCATATCCAGCATAATACTCTTAAAAATACTGGCTACCTTCTGTAACGTAGTAATTATTGATAACTTTTACACAGAAACACACTTCAGAAAGGTGGCTATGTCTTTTTATTCAGGACATAAATCAGTAGATGCTGTGAAAACAGTGGTTCAGGTATTGTTTAACCTGAGATCTGACCATTTTAAAATCAGTTAATGGATTTAATTTAGTTAAAAACAAAATAAATGTTGTCTAAATTATGTACTTTTTATGATGTCACTAACTACCTCCGTAACAATTGAATTCAAAGATGCTTTATTAATCCCAGAGGGAAACTAGAGTTTCAGTACACACAATTTTGAGATCAGACATACATGAACACGTGACAAGAACTGGTGACCGTGGTCATTCACAACCCAGTCAACAAGGTCACTGGATGAGTGTAAAAGCCATTAGGAAGAATAAAACAAGCTCATTCACCCGTGTTTATGTAGCTCTATAAGTTTATTGAGCGTCTTGAATGTGAAGTGATCCGTTTCATGGAGGTATCACTTCTGTCCATGGCTAGTCTCTACTGAAAAAGCAGTTATCTCTCTGTCTGCTGTACGTACGGCGAGAGGGAGCAGTAAAGAAAAAAAAATCAAAACTTGTCAAACCTGAAAGCTCCGTGTCCATTCGTCTAGCACGAAGCTAAATGTGAGTGTGCAGCCAGTGGTGAGTGTGATAACGCAGCTCAGACGGTTCTAAATGTTCCGCTTTGAGGCGTCGGGGGAGTCGCGTTTGGATGAGAGTCAGCTGGGAAATCAAGATTGATAGGGGTCATTAATAAGCAACTGCAAGGCTGGCATGCAACTGCTCCCTCCCAGGGATGAGAGACTCTCTCTGTGTTTCTCTCTCTCACACACACACACGCACACACACACACACACACACACCAACAGAAGCTTCACACTGCATGAGCCTTGAAACGCTCACCCCTATAAACTCTTCCAACCGGATGAGCTTAAAGACAAACTCCATCTTCAGGTCGGATGAATCCTCTAAACTCTCCAGAATGTCGCCCAAATGTCACATTTTACATTATTACAAATACTTGGCTGGATAAGATTCCTGTTTCAAATCTGAGTGGTAGAAGAAAACAGCAGAAGTAAATAAGCAGGGCTTAGCCATGTCGACAGCTCTAACGGATGTTCCTGCTTCCTTATAAAGAAGCAAGGACGAGGAAAACACCACAGTTAATGGATTCAGCCCAGCAGCGGGCTGGGAGCTTCTCGGAGAAGCCCGGCTCAGCCGCGGTCATTGATCAAAGTCTGTGGAAGCACAAACAGTTAGCTGAGACAGACGCGAGCCTCCCGACGCCCTGTTGCCAAACCGCCGCCGATACAGAATTGATCTGATGAAGCAGCAATAATCACAGCCATGATGGTTGATTGGGAAAATGTGAGTGGCTTGGAATTAATTCCAGCTTGTCCGTTTTTGCACAAGGTAGCGGCGCTGCAGCCATCAGGCGTGTCTAGCTGATGCATGGAGCTTTAATGGGGCGCTGCAGATTTCTAGGTCCTCAATCTTGTGTCATGTGATGCTTTTGAGGATAAACCAGCAGTGAAAAGCTGCAGGAGGAGCTTAAATACCTGGTTTCCAAACAGGTTGAATCCGTTGATGGCTTCCAGAGCAGCTTTAGCGAGACCCACAGAGCTGGGGAGAGAAAACAACAAAGCCTGATACTGAAGCATTCTGGAGGACAGGATGAAGTCATTTTATTCAACTCAACAGAAAAAGTGACCTAAACCAGGCATATTTGTTTCTCAGTCGTCTTTTGAGAATATTCTTTAGGATTTAATGAAACTTCCAAAATGTGGAGTTTCCCAGTGGCTGGCTTCTGAGATTACAACTCAGATGAGTGAATCCGTCGCTTCCCTCTCTGACATGACGAAGGCTTCTCCAGAACGTACAACGAGATGGGACCTTTTCAGGAGACTTGAAGATGATTTAGCTGCCGATTTATTTAAAATAGAAATTAATTCCATTAGTGAAGTCTAGATCAATGCTTGAAATACAGGAGGGACCAGACGTGGATAGTAACGAATTACATTTACTCACGTTGCTGTAACTGAGTAGCTTTTTTGTATACTTATACTTTTCAAGTTGTTTTTAAAATCTGTACTTTTACTTTTACTTGAGTATGTTTTTAGAAAAAAAATTGTAATTCGCTACATTTTAAATCACAACCGTTACTGAGTAAAAACAAATTGTAGGTTTAATAAATTATAAATGTTGCGTGTTGCAGCATGAGCCTGGTGGGGGGGGGGGGGGGGGGGGGGGGTACACCCTTGATAATGACAAACAGCCATTTCTATCGCAGTTTTGCTCAAAAACATAAGTTCAGTCCATGTGATCCACTCGCTGTTCACCTCCTCTCTCCCTCTTCTCCTGTGGGTTGGATCCCGCACCTTCGCGCACCGGTGTGACGTCATCAGAATTCTGCTCGGTTCAGTAACCAGACTGGGTTCAGTGTTTGAAATGTGTTTACCTACCACTCCGCATGGAAGCAACAAAATAACGTTTAGCGCTCATAACAAGCGGATTATCAGCGCTGTGCTCATAAAACAGAAGACCTGCAGGCCTCTGTGAGTTAAAACATCCCGATACTGTTCAGGTGTAAACATTGTGCTCCATCCCTGTGTTTGAACTCAGAAGATGCTCCTTGATGCCACGGATATTTAGCTTGTTTCTTTATTTTACTTCAGAATAAGAGATTAAATTATTACTAAAGCAGTTCAATGTAGTTAAATTAGTCATTCATATGATTCTAACATGCTGCTGCGTGTGTGTGTGTGCGCGTGTGTGTGTGTGTGTGTGTGTGTGTGTGCATGTGCGTGTGTGTGTGTGTGTGTGTGTGTGTGTGTGTGTGTGTGTGTGTGTGTGTGTGTGTGTGTGTGTGTTACACATATAGGACTGCATGAGACAGTGTGGTTTAATCAAATCCATGCATCTTATATCTTGGCTGTAGTAATGGTGAACAAAAATAACTTCTATTTCATAAATAATGACGTCTCTGCAGTGTTTATGATAATATTTTATCTTACATTGTACTTATCTTTGGTCTGGGAGGTGTAACATATCATGATACAAGCCTTTTAAAACATGTTAAAGTGTTACAAGAGGAGATAAATGCATGAATTTAAAGTTCATGTTTGGAGACCAACCTTCACAGTTTGGAGGCTCACGCTGGTGAGGAGACACCGTTAGTTCTAGTAACATCTGGGCTCCCAAGGCCTGTTCTGATAGGATGGACATTACGGGACCCTTAAGGATTCCAGCTGGATGATTGGAGGATTATTTAGGAGGATTGGAATGAACAAACTGATTTCAGTGGTGAAGGGTTAAATGAGTGAGTGAACCCACTACCAAGGATGAACTCTGCTAACTTTAAAAATCAGCTGCTCTAAATAAGCATGAAGGTCAGAGAGGAGCTCTAGGATGGACATGGATAAAGGAACTGTAATGTAGAGGTAAAATAGGGCAGGGCCAACGTTAGCAGCCGTCATACGGTCCATCTGAAATGTTTGACTCTCATTTAGCTTGTTATGTGACAGGTTAGAGCACAGTCTCATGTTAGAGTTTTGTCATGAGAACATTGAGATACCTCACATGATGATGGCATCTAAAAATTAACTTTTTTTCTTTTTTCAAAATAAAGAATAATTTTAATCACAGTTGAAACGTACAAGCCTAGAAAAACCTCGTCCAATCAATGTAATTTAGGTCATGATAAATTTCCGAAATATTTTGTTGAAAACAGTATTGTAAAACATGATTATGGTGATGTGGCTGATAGCTTTAATAAATTCTTTGTAAATATAGGGCCTTCATTGGCAGAAAACATACCTAGCTCTTCAACATCACATACACCATTCTTAAAACAAATCAAACCTAATCCTCATTCCATGTTTCTTTCAGCTGTAGAGGAACAAGAAATAATACAAATTGTAAAAACATGTAAAGGTAAAACATCAACTGACAATCATGGCATTGGCATGATGACGGTAAAAAAGGTGATAGAAGGAATTTCAAAACCACTTGCATATATTTGCAATTTGTCTTTTCAATCAGGTGTATTCCCAAAATTAATGAAAGTTGCAAAAGTTATACCAATATATAAAACTGGGGATAAGCATCAATTTACGAACTATAGGCCAATTTCATTGCTTCCACAATTTTCCAAGATTCTTTAAAAATTGTTTAATAATCGACTCGAAATATTTTTGGATAAATACAAGATAATTTCAGACTGTCAGTATGGATTTAGACAGAATAGTTCAACATCACTAGCTCTGGTGCATTCTGTGGAAGAAATTGCAATGTCAATTGATCAGAAGAAACATGTTCTAGGGATATTTATTGATTTAAAAAAGGCTTTTGATACAGTTAATCATAAAATGTTACTTGAAAAGGCAGAGAGGTATGGGATTAGGGGTGTAGTGTTGAGCTGGTTGACAAGCTATCTACAACAGAGGAGACAGTTTGTGAAATTTGGAGAATGTTCATCTACATGGTTGGACATTGTTTGTGGAGTACCACAGGGGTCTGTGTTGGGTCCAAAATTATTTTTATTATATATTAATGATTTGAGTAATGTAACAAATACACTGACATTTGCTTTGTTTGCCGATGATACCACTATTTTCTGTGCAGGAGATAATATTAGCAAGTTAGAAAGGATGGTCCAAATTGAAATGTGCGTCATTAAAGAGTGGTTTATTGAAAATAAGCTTACATTAAATATAGCAAAAACAAAATGTATGTTGTTTGGTATGGCTAATAAAACTGAGGTTAAGCTGCAAATAGATGGATGTGAAATTGAGCAAGTAACAGAACATAAGTTCCTTGGAATAGTAATTGATAATAAATTAAGTTGGAAACCACAAATTAAACATGTATATAATAAGGTTGCGAGAAGCATCTACATTATGAATAAAGCTCCGCAGTACTGGGATTATAAATCACTCCATGTCCTTCATTATTCATTGATTTATCCCCATCTTATTTACTGTCTAGAGGTATGGGGTAACACTTATAAAACATCTATTGTACCCTTGTCTATCATACAGAAAAGAGCCCTGAGAGTCGTTCACAATGTTAGATTTAGAGAACACACTAATCCGTTATTTATATATTCTAAAATACTAAAATTTAAAGATTTAATTCAGCTGTATACAGCGACATTTATGTTTAAAGTGCATAGGAAATTATTACCAAACAAATTATTAATGCTATTTATAAAACCAGATAACCTATATAATTTCAGATACAAACTTAACTTTAGGCATACATATTTTAGAACAACAATAAAGTCATTTTGTATTTCTGTTACGGGTGTAAGAGTTTGGAATAAGCTAAGTGAGGATCTAAAGCAAAGTCCCTCATTGCACAAGTTTAAAGAGAAGTATAAAAAAATTATACTAATCAATTACATGGAGGAGGAGGAGAAGTTGTAAGGGTGTTGCATTTGATTGTAATTGTCTATTGTTGGTGAACTGGGAGCTGTGAACATGGCGGGGGGGGGGGGGGGACACATAAGAAAATGTAAATTTTGTTTGTGTGATTGAGGATAAAACATGTTATAGGAAAATGGCAATGACACTCAGTGTAGGGAAAATATATATATTTTTTGTTTTATCTTTCTTGAAATTTGATTTGGGGGGATTATATAAGCTACCAGAGCTTCGTTCCCTTCCCATTGAACATGTTCATATACATATGTGTGGGTTTCTTTTTGGATACTTTTTGAATGCTTTGGGTTGTCTATTGATTTGCAGGCATGTTCAATAAGGAAAGAAAAAGAAAAGAAATGTGCACGTCCTGTTCTCACTGATTGGATAGAAATCGCTCCATCAAACTGTGTGTGTGTGTGTGTGTGTGTGTGTGTGTGTATGTGTGTGCGTGCACACACGAGCGAATTGTGAACCTGCATTGTGATTTTGCACTACTTAGATGTAGCCATCCTTACGCTGACAAAAATGTAACTAAGTAACTTTTACTTTGAGTAGTACTTTGATTTGTTAGAAAATCAAAATATGACTATCTTTAAAAACAGAACTCACTTTACGGTGACTCAGTTCTAGAGGAAGCTATGGAAACGGCCGTCTCTTTAACCCAGAGCAATCTTTGACACGCCGTCAAAGTTGCTGCAAAGCTGACAGACAAACCTGTTCCTTCAGAACAAAGCAACTTGCTCGTTCTGCTACTCAGAAACAGCTGCTCTAAGATGCAACCAATTTCATCCATCGTATGACCCGTAGGCAACTCAAGACTGACTTGGTCGCATCGGGTGTTTTTCTACGAACCACGTGCATTGGGGTCATCGGCTCCTTGACATCTTGGATCCAAACGGGTGAAGTAGACACACAGATAGCGTCTGATGCCTTTTTGATAATAATCACCTTCACAGCTTAACGCAAACCAAATGCTTTCCCTTTTACACCCAGGACTCAGCTTTCCTAGATACGAAAGTTCTGATAACATCACATTCACACATAGGCACCATACATCACATCTCCTCCACCTAGATCCATCCATCACAGTAAATATGATTTAACTTGTCATGTTTTAATTGTTTGGAAAATAAATTCTTACTTTTATAACCTTGACTGTTTTCTGAATCAAAACAAAGTGTTTATAATCCCTGAATAAAC